AGACTTTATTATTTATTTCACGAGGGAAAACGTATTAACCATAAAAGTTATCTAACATACGGCCCGACGATTACCGTAAGAGGCACGAGCAAACTTGCCATAAGGGAAACCAAGTGCGAGTAGCACATAAAGACGTACCAGCTAATCCGTTTGAGACTGCAAACCGCAGTCAAAGCCAAGAGAATATTTTGAGTCGTCAGAGGCGCAAGATCCTCAAGAAGACTCCATAGGCACCGATGAGAAGAAGACCAAGAGAAAGACGAGGCATGCCATAAGAATGGACTTGTCTTCTTTAGTTCTTTAGCGAAATTACTGTTAACTCTTATCAGCCTACAGTTTTGAAAGACATACCGCATACAGCGATCGGTATCATCGATCGGTTGCATATGATCATATCCGTTTTACTCGCTTTCTGACGCATAAAATTTAATTAAACTCTTGAAAAATCGGGTCGTACAAAAGCCCAGTTAACACTATCCGGCACTAAGAGTTTTAAGACTGCTCAAAATACAAAAGTATTATAAATTGTCTATTCGGCGCCTGGGGATAAAAAAGGTCAAATTCATCAAAATTCATCAAAATTCGGTTTTTGGTTGTAATGCGTTAATTTCTGAAAATGAAAGTACCATTTTCACGTACGGTTCTGTTCACACGAAAACGTATGAAAACGACGTCAGGAAGCAAAAACGTTTCAAATAGTGAAAACGATGCCAAAGATTCGTTCTCTATGTCTGAAACGTTTGGTCGTTTTGGCACTTTGTTATTGTGTAAACAGAAAAGTAGAAGGCGAAAATGAAATTCCGTGTTTGAATTTGGAAACGAAGACTATAAAAACTAGTGCTTTGTCAGAAAATGTTGCGAGAAAAACGATCAATGTGAACAAGGCGCCTAAACGCTAAATTTGAAAACGGCACTGCAAAAACGCTCAAAAACGTGACCCGTGTGCACATAGTTTCAGTCTCGATTTAGGACTTATGAAAACACAGTATAAATTTATGGTAAATTTAAATTTTTTTCAGCTTTATTTGTTTAATATAAATAAATTAAAATAATACTCCTATCTGAAAACAAACGCACGAAAATAAAATAGTGCTAATCATTGAGCTGTAGTTGCAGTTATTGCAATTGTGTTTTTCGATTTCGTGACCATATATTTGTTTGTTCTTAGAATGTCGTATTTTATATATAAAGCAACCCGATTCCTTTTTAGCAACAACCCACGAACAAGCATCCATATTTCAAAACAAGAGCCATATTGGTGTCCCTCAGTTACTAGCACACCAATATGATTCTCATTACCTATACAAACTTTTCTTCTCATTACCTATACAAACTTTTGAAAAACTCGGCAAATTCAACTGGCGTCACTCGGCAATTTGACCTTCGACACCCCCCCAATCCATATCCCTTCGCAACGGCCCTGAGCGTTTGCAAGATTCGTTGACAATATCTTATCACCGCTACAATCAGTCCGCAATATCAGTTAACAATGAATACCATCATTCACCACTGATATAAACGCGTATTGACAAATAATAGTTACCAGAATCAAGAATCACATATGGCAGACTATTTTCAGTCAAATATAATGCTCCTGAAAAGGAATCACTGTATTGCAAATTAAAGGTATGATCGCCTATGTCTACAAACTCGGGGACATCAGTTAATAATAAATAACTCTTATTTATACTTTTGCTAATAACTTCATGCAAACTTTTACCACATATTTAACAGAAATAATTATTAACAGATTTAACTTCTTTGTAAACAATTGCATGCATGCAATGACATGACTACACACTGTTTACCAGCACTGATACCAAACATGAAGTCATTACCAATTGATTATGGACCGTACTCCACATCATTGAGAGTCTTAGTAATAATGGTACATAAACATTATGATAGTGTATCATTTCAACATACCATAAGCACAATTCACTGTTCTTTTCACTTTTATTCAATTGGCTATAATGTTTTATGTATTTATTCCTTTCGCTATCTGAAACGTTACAGCTTTTTAATTCTGCCTCTGAGTAGTGTCCTTTGTCCTTGTCCTATCTTAAACCACACCCTTTACTTATATATTAACTAATTAACTAATTGTATTAATATCAACACTACACTACATCCCTCCCTTTCTTTTTGCTTGCGTCCTTCGTCCTTCATAGACAGTACAAAACAACAAAATATGAATATATATATATATATATATATATATATATATATATATATATATATATATATATATATATATATATATATATATATATATATATATATATATGGATACTCTAACTATAGTGTGCGTGTTCTGGATTATTTTTTTTTTGCAGTCTCTATAATAGTTTGCTGCGACTTCGGTTTATGCTACTGCTACTGTGGTACACTAAAGCGGTTAAGGGGTTGTCCCCGATTTAATCTTAAAGGATATCGTCTTCGTGGTTGTTCTTATATCCCCGGTTCTTCAATATCACTGTTTGGAATATCCTCGTATTCACCATCATCGTCATTCGTAGTGGATCCACAAGTGGACGGTCGTGTTATCTTCTTAAAATGTGACGAATTTCTTGTTATCTTGTTTTTGGCATTTTCAGCTGTAATCATGCTGCCTTTTTTTACAACTATGTGGTATGGTATGGGATTGTTGTACGACAAGAATTTGTTACGCTTTCGCTGTCGTACTAGCACATCATCTCCAATCTGAAATGTTGCTGGTTTCGCATTGTTTCTGTCATCGACATATTCTTTCATTTTTCTTTTAGCGTTCGCATCTTTACACCTGAGGTCAGAATCAATAACAGTTGGGGAAACTTCTGGTAATTTTATTCTCATCTTTCTTCCAATAATAGTTCCGCGGGTGTTTTGTCGGTACTTGCGTGCGGAGTTGCGCGATAGTTGCGCAGGAAACGATACAGCTGTTGTTTCCAATTGAGCTGCTCAGTGTGTGCAGTGGGGATGAAACGTGAACAATAATTCGCCATCCCGAGTAGGCTTCTCACTTCTGTTGGATTCTGTGGAGCACCGACTGATTTTGTTGGAAGGTTTCGACTTTCTTTGGATCTAGAGACACACCATCTTTAGAAAAGATATAACCATAAAATTCTACGGATGGCTTGTTGTATTCACATTTAGGCGCATTGAGGGTTAAGTTCATTTCTTGCAGGCGTTGGAGAACTGCTTCCAAAGCATGGTTATGTGACTCCTGATCTCTGCCATATATGATAATATCATCACTTATGTTTCGTGCACCTGGTATGCCCTCGAGAATTTGCTGTATGGTTGTTTGAAACAATTCCGCTGCTGAGGTAACTCCAAAAGGCAATCTTGTGTAGCGTCGCAGACCTTTGTGTGTAGCAAATGTTGTTATGTACCGTGATTCAGGTGCCAGTTCTAGCTGGTGGTAGCCTTGGTTTAGATCAAGCTTGGAGAAAACAGTTGTTCCATTTAAGTCGTTAATAAGGTCATCGATAGTGGGTGTGATGTGTCGTTCTCTCTCTATCGCTTTGTTGGCAACGCACATGTCAACATAGAGGCGTACCTTTTCTTGATTTTTTGGTTTAGGTACCACAACTAGTGGAGACATCCATGGGGTTGGACCATGTACTTTTTCTATTATGCCTTCATGTTCTAATCGTATTAATTCTTGTTCAAGTCCCTTTCGAAGTTGAAACGGGATTCTTCGGTGTGGTTGGGCACTAGGTGTAACAGTTTCATTGATATGAAGATGAACTTGACAGTCTTTTAATATTCCAACTCCATGATATCTATCATTGTATTTGTCTAGTGATTGTTTCAGTTTGTTTTTTTCTTGAACTTCCGGTTGTTGATTTTCTGTTGCATTAATAGTTAACTTGATAAGGTTTAAGGCTAAGGCTGTCTCGTAGCTAAGGAACGAACCACATGTCCCTTGCATTACATATATTGTGGTCACAACAATACGAGTCGACGATTCTATTTCGACGTCAAATTTTCCAACGATAGGCAGAGGTGTTTTCGCGCCGTATCCGTATACCTTTGTGTTTGTCTTACATAAAGTAATGGGGGGCTGATTTGTCTTGCGTGAATATTTTTGCATTCGTAAAAGGGCGTGTTCGTCAATAATGTCAACACTTGCACCGGTGTCGATCATAATTTCTGCTGGCATGTTTCTGATTTTTACGTGAACTTTGGGGCTTTTAACTTTGGATTTAATTGCATTTGTTTTTATATTTCCAAGCGAAAATAGCTATTCGTCGACAGAACTAGAATCTACCGGGTGTTGGTTGCTCTGCTCGATTTTACTTGCGCTTATAGTATCGTGTTGTTGTCGCTGCGTAGTATTTCCGGCTTTGACATGATTGACACTATATCATCGGGTTTAATATGTCGACTTGTAGACTGACAACAACAAGCGAAATGGTTCATTTTCTGACACAATCTACAGGCTTTCCTTTTTCCCGGGCATATTCCATCTAAATGAGGATAGTTGTTTCCACAATTGAAGCATTTTCGTGAGCGATTCGTTTCGCGAGGGCTTTGTTGATATAAACGCTGTTGAAACTGTTGTTGTCGTTGAGTGCGATCAATTTCATGGGAATCGTCGTGCGTTTGTTCAATGTTTGTCGCTTGTTTTTCTGCAGTTTCCATTGCTCGACCATCGCTGAGCAGTTGATCAAGAGTAAGCGTTGACTCACGCAGGGCCCGTAGTCTTAATCGGGATGGGACACAACCGAGTATTATCTGAGACTTTAACTCGTTGTTTAGGTCGGTGAATTCGCAGGTACTCGCCAATTTTCTTAGACGTGTCGCATACTGATCAAGAGTTTCTCCAGTGCGTTGTTTTTCTTGTGGGAATACATAGACTTCGTAGTCGATATTTTTCTTCTGCGTAGTCCTCTCCCGTCTCGTGTAGGGTATCAAAATTATCATATGCTACTTCACCAATGTAGTGGAGCAGTAGTGCACGCTTTCGTTTGGGCTCGGTTACATTCATTGCTGTTAAGAAGTTTTCAAAAGGTTTGACCCATTTGGTCCAACGGGTCCTGTAGATGCGGGGTCACTGTCCGGTACAAATGGTGGGGAAAATGGCAAAGCGGCTTGTACATTCGCCATATCAGCGTCGTTGTTTACTGGTTCTGTTTCTTCTCCGGAACCTTCACTCATTTGGCGATTTGCAAATTAATTCTCTATCGATAATTTCGTACTTTATTTTATAACCTTGTCGCCAATATAATGTTTTATGTATTTATTCCTTTCGCTATCTGAGTCGTTACAGCTTTTCCATCCTGTCTCTGAGTAATGCCCTTTGTCCTTGCCCTATCTTAAACCACACTCCTTACTTATATATTAACTAATTAACTAATTGATTTAATATAACACTACACTACATTGGCTGTTGAGATAAAGCAAGAAGAATTCATTAAAGTAAAACATTAATAGTATTTGATTCCAAAGTTTAAAATTGTGAAGCAATCCTGGAGCGATAAACTTCAATAGTAACACCCATATTTGTGGCCTTAAACTCAGAAACCAAAAGTCAATTGTTGACTTAAAAAGTATTTTTTTAAAGTTTTTTATTTGTCAGTAAATTCGTCAGTAATGTATCTGCAAGCCAGCAGGCAGTGTTATTACCAGCACAGCACAATGACTGTCTTTAGTATATTCGTCAGTAAATGTACCTGCATGTCGGCAGGCAGTGTTTAATATTTTGTTTGAATATACCAGCACAATGGCTGTCGTTTTATATACACGCACAATGGCTGGGTTCAATTTGAATACCTGCACAATGGCTAGGTTCAGTTTTGCTACGTGGGCTTTCACGTAAATAAGCGCCTGATCTATGACGATCAGTGCGAGCAACAGTGGCTCCTGTTTTTTGAGTTTTTTGATACGTCCACCTCTGACACGTAGAGCGTCTGACAACAAGTCAGTGCAGGCAAGTTTGCCAGGGGCTCGGTTTCGAGGGGGACTTTTAGAATGAAAAGGGCACCTAAAAAATTTTTCCCGGAAATCTTGGCGACGGGGGGGTGGGTAGGGAGACAGGGACGTAGCTACGAAGCCACGAAGGTGTTTGCTGTCCGGAAAATGAAGACGCAATTTACAAACAAAACTGATGCATATTTTACGCACGGACGTATTACATAAGCATGCAGTGCCGTAGGAATCGCTTTCTGATTAGGGGTTGAGAACGAGGGCCAAAGGTCCGAAGAAATTTTTAAATTTAGAGTCTCTGAAATGCCATTTCCTGGACTTTGAGAAAGTTTTGACAGAATTCTGATGGTCACAAAACAGCGTTTTAGTATGACGAAATTTACAATTTGACTGCAATTTAGTTGTACTAAATGGGCGAAGGCGTATTTAGTTAACTATATACTGGGGAAGTTGAAAGTATGGATAATATGATTCTTTGCAGTTTGTTGTGGATAATGTAACCGCTTAAAATTAATCAATTGTCATTATTTTAAAGGTATACTATTTAAATGATAAAGGTCTGCATGATTTTGAAAAAAGAATGGTTATTAGCAAATTATTGGGAGAGCTGCAGCCCTCCCTCCAAGCCCCCCCCCCCCC